CCGTGGCGCTCCCCGGCCACCCGGTCGCTGGCGGTGTTGCCCATGGCTGCGGCTCGCGTCGGGGACCACCTGTCGTGGGGAACAACCCGGGGCGGGGAACACCCCGGCGGCGCGTCAGGGGCACCTCCGGCCCCGCCCCTTCGCCCGGGGTTCCGGTTCAGGGAATCCCCGCCGCAGGGAAGCCGGCTCGGGGTCGCTTCCCTCCCGGGCCTCCGGGAACGCCGTGCGCACCCCTCTCCACCCGCCTCGCTCCCTCGCTGCGCGCCGCTCAGGAATCCCGCTGTCGGGAACCCCCAGGCATCCCCGCGCTCACGCCCGCACCCCGATCCCCGCCCGCGACGCGCTCCCGCCTACCCGGCCGCCGGCGCGATGGGTGTTCCGAGGATAAGGCCACCAATAAAGTTATTGAAATTGAAGCCGCGCCCGGGTAGCAATCCGGGATTCCTCCTAAAATGGCTACAGCCCGCCCCACCCGCGCGCGTTCCCTGCGGCCGCGCTGTGCCCGGGCCCGCCGGCCTCTCTAGCGCTGCCACCTCGATGGTGGGCCGCGCGCAGCCTCCGGCGCCGGGCGGGGCGCCAGTCCGCAGTCAACCAGGGGCCGCACGCGGGACTGCCCTGGGGACCGGTTCGCTGAGTCCGGGCCTCGCGTGCGGAGGACGCGGTCCCCGAACGACACTCGGGCTGCCACCCAATCTCCCGTGTTCAGTACCCGGAGGACCGGTGCCTTCTTCCCGGCCGCTCACCTGGCCTCAGTTTCGCCAAAACCGGTTTCTTGGTCGTAGGCGACCCGGAGAGGTGGGTTCCTAGAGGGAATAAGAACCGGGGCTTCCCACTGACGGCAGGATTGCTCGAGGTTAAAACTAAGGGCTGGCCCTGACCTGTTTGGCTCAGTGGATAGACTGATAGAGCGTTGGCCTGTGGACTGAAGGGTCCCGGGTTCCATTCCGGTCAAGGGCATGTACCTTGGTTACGGGCACATCCCCAGTAGGGGGTGTGCAGGAGGCAGCTGATTGATGTTTCTCTCTCATCGATGTTTCTAACTCTCTATCCCTCTCCCTTCCTCTCTGTAAAAAAATTGCCCTATATAATAAAACCGTAATATGCAAATCAACCAAACAGCAGAATGGTGGGCCGCTATGACTCGCACTGACCACCAGGGGGCAGACACTCAAAGCAGGAGCTGCCCCCTGGTGGTCAGTGTGCTCCCACAGGGGGAGTGCTGCTCAGCCAGAAGCCGGGCTCACCTGGAGAGTGCAGCAGCGGTGGTGGGAGCCTCTCCCGCCTCCACTGCAGGCAGGTGGTAAGGAGCAAGGGGTCCCCAACTGCAAGAGCCCCAGGCTGCAAGAGGGATGTCTGACTGCCGGCTTAAGCCAGACATCCCCTGAGGGGTCCCGGACTGCGAGAGGATTCGGGCCAGGCTGAGGGACCCACCCTTCCAGTGCACAAATTTTGTGCACTGAGCCTCTAATAAGTAAAAAAACAAAAACCCCTAAGTGCTGTAGGGAGCAGTCAGTTTGGGGGCCCAGGGAAGGGGTGATTAGGAAATAACCTTAAATTAGTAAAATGCCAGTCTAAAAAGAAGGGGAAAGCTATTCCAAGCTAAGAAACAGTATATGCAATGAGCAACCCCAGAAGAAATGAAATTCAAGAAAGAGAGCAACAACAAAAACAACCGAGGAATAAATACTAGGCAGAAGAGGGCAAAGATAGTCCTGGATTTGGGACAAATCCAGGCTTTTACTGATAATGAATGGTATTTAACAATTCTTACTTTGTGTTATTATTATACTAGAGGCCTGATGCACAAAATTCGTGCAAGGGCCTTGGCCCCCAGACCCCACCCCCTGCCTGCCGCTGCTGCTACAGTCCCACCTGCTGGGGCTTTGTGGGTAATTAGCATATTACGCTTTTATTATTATAGATGGATGTCTCATTCCGTACTACCAACCCTTGTCACTCAACACATGTTACACAGACCACCTAAGAGATTGTTCCAAATGTCTTTTTCTGTCACAGGGCCAATTTGTGGGGCAACCAGTGGGGCGACTGGGTGTCCCCCGCTGGCACCTGCCTTGGCTGGCCTGGGGCCTGCGGGCTGGGGCAGCTTCTGCGTTGAATATCTGGTGGTCAGTGTGCGTCATAGCAACTGGTTGTTCCACCGGTTGTCCCGCCGTTTGCTCGATTTGCATATTAGGCTTTTATTATATAGGATTAAGGGGAATTAATACACCTTAGAAGACATAGAGGGTGGGCTCTAAAGCACTGCCACAAGGCTCCTATTAATCCTCCATATATCTTCTAGGTTTAGGTAAAGAACAAAGAACCAAACTATCCAACCCAAATTCCTAACTTTTCCCAGGCCTGGATTGGACACTCTTCCCAGTAAATTTTATTGGGGTTTCATGTCCTCTATCCACTCTATCCCATCTGATCATCTTTTTGATTGTTCCCAGGCTAGCTTTTCGTATCCTG